AAAGAGTGATGTGAAATACGGCAGAGCTTGCAGTGAGAGCATCATTAGTCTGGACACCAGTGGAACACAGACACTCACGCACGCGCAAAGGGAAAGGTTGAACTTCGATGATTGTGGGGGTCAGGTGAGAATTGTTTTATATAAGTAGCATATGATGTCGTATATTTTTTCGTAAGTTTAAACCATTTTCTTAAATGGTTCGTCCTTGCTATCTAAAAAACTTAATATTTAATGTAGGATTTATCGTTGTATATTTTTTACAATTTGTGTATTTGTTTGTTTGGTGTTTTTTTTTTTTTTTTTAGTCTCTTCATTGTTTTTGTAAACAAGCGCTGTAGAATGGCTTGAAAAGCATATATTGGTGCTATCATTTAAAGAGGAAGGGATTCAAACGAAATATCTATGACAATAGTTTATTGTTCGGTAAATGGTTTTGAATGACTTTTTGTGCTTTCCATTTTAGTTTTTGCCATATCTGAGTGTTTTTAAATATTTTTCTCTCTCTGAGCTTTTATTTATGCATATTATGTATAATAATCTTTTTATTGTTTATTTATTTATAATAATAATAATAATAATAATAATATTAATAATATTAATATTAATAATTTAATAATAATAACAATTTAGTCATTATTACTTATCTGATGTTTTATTTATAATTACTTTTCTTTATATGATATTTTATTTATTGCACACTGATTTTAAGTAATATTAATAAAATAATAATTAAAAAAAAGTTAATTATTATTATTATTATTTATTTTTTTATTTTTTTAATATTTTTTGCTGGGAATATAACAATGTGTGTTCTAGCATAAATTTTGAATAAATTTTTCACGTTTTTAAAATCAAAATCGCACCTTTTTGCTATTTAATGCGATTTTTTTTTATTAAATACATTTTATTTAAAACCATAGTCATAAGAGGTTTTTATTGTTTGTCTGGGTCAGAGCACGTTCATTAAGAATGTTTTCTATTTTCTGGAGTACATGTTTAACACTTTTTCTTGCATAATTTAAATTTCGTTGAACGTGAGTTTACTGTGTACCTGTTTTGCTGGCAGTATGTTTTTTTATAATCTATTGCTTGTTAGTATTTATTGTAGCTCTTGTAGTATTTCTCTGATGCACCAAGTGCCGCTGTTGGTCAGTGTGTTCAGGCTTTAAACTGTATTCTAGACCCTCCTTTTCTTTCTGACATCACATTCTGCAGAATATCTCTTCATTTCAGACGGTCTCTCCTCTGAAGCGTGGTAACATTCGTCGCTCTTTGTTATCGGAAGAACTTTGCTTTTTCCACGATTTTAATTATCTTCTTCTTCATCATATATTCTTCTTCAGTGGACCAGAAGATCTGGATTATGTCGTTTCTTTGTTGTTTTTCCGCGCACAGAGGCGCGTCTTCGTCGCGGATTTCATCATGGCTAATGCAGCCTCTCGTGCTCTGCGTCTTTGTCATGGCCGTTGCGCGCGCGCAGGTCCGTTATTCTATCCCAGAGGAGATGACAAAGGGCTCGCTGGTGGGAAATATCGTTCAGGATCTCGGTTTGGATGTTAAGAGGCTGAAATCTGGTCGAGCGCGGATCTTTACGGAGGACAGTCGTGAGTACATCGCTCTGAATGTGGATAAAGGGACTCTGGTAGTGAAAGAGAGGATAGATAGAGAGGAGCTGTGCGCCCAAGTGTCTCCCTGCTCCTTACATTTTCAGATCATCCTAGAAAACCCCATGGAGCTGCACAGAATTGATGTGGAAATATTAGATATTAATGATCATGCTCCTGTTTTTGACAGAAAAGAAATTGATTTTCAGATTAGTGAATTAGCACTTCCCGGAGCTCGCTTTTCATTAGACAGCGCCCAAGATCTGGACACAGGTACGAACGCGCTTAAGTCATATACATTAAATCCAAAAGATCATTTTGATTTGAAGGTTATGTCACGAAATGATGGCTCAAAATACGTCGAAATGGTTCTTCAAGCGCCGTTAGACAGAGAGACTCAACATGAGCACAAGTTAACCCTTACAGCCTTTGATGGCGGCAATCCGCAGAGAACTGGCACTGTTAGGATATGTGTTACGGTCATAGACGCAAACGACAACGCGCCTGTATTTAGTCTGCCTGTTTACCGTGTTTCATTGTTTGAGAATGCACCTAATGGTGCTGTTGTGGTCAGAGTAAGCGCAACTGATAATGACCAAGGCGCAAACGGAGAGATAACATATTCTTTTTCACGCAGTTCTGGAAAAAATCTAGATTTATTCCATATTGGCCCAGATACAGGTGAAATTACTGTAAAAGGACATTTGGATTATGAGAGAGCTAAACAATTTGAGTTAAACATAGATGCTACGGATAAAGGTGGTTTAACTGACTCCAGTAAAGTTATAATCGATATTACAGATGTAAACGACAACCCCCCTGTGATAAGCCTGATTTCATTTTCTAATCCAATACCAGAGGACGCAGCGCCAGAAACTGTAATAGCGATGCTGAATGTCAAAGATTTAGATTCGGGGAAAAATGGGCAGGTTAAATGTTACATTTCTGCAGACATGCCTTTCAAGGTGAAGTCATCTGCCCAGAATTTTTACAGTTTGATCACTGATCAGCTTTTAGATCGTGAAAAGATATCCGAATACAATATCACAGTAACAGCTACTGATGAGGGCTCTCCATCCTTCTCCACTAATAAAACACTGACTCTGAAAATCTCCGATGTGAATGACAACGCCCCTGTGTTTGAGCGTCAGTCATACACCGCATTTATCATAGAGAATAATTCTCCAGGAGTCTCTGTTTTATCTGTTAAAGCGCACGACAGAGACTCTGGCAATAACGCGCGTATCTCCTATTTTCTAGAGGATGTTGTTGTGAATGGCGTCTCTGCCTCGACCTTTATTTCAGTCAATGCAGAGAGCGGAGAGATTCTTGCTGCTCGCTCTTTTGATTACGAGCAAACAAAAGATTTTAGCATCCGCGTAAAAGCGCAGGACGGAGGCTCTCCTCCTCTCAGCAGCAACGTGAGCGTCAAAATCCTGATTCAGGACCAGAATGACAACGCGCCTCAGGTTCTGTATCCGGTCCAGTCGGGCGCTTCTGTGGTGGCTGAAATAGTGCCTCGTTCGGCAGATGTGGGTTATCTGGTGACTAAAGTGGTGGCTGTTGATGTGGACTCAGGACAGAACGCCTGGCTCTCCTATAAACTGCACAAAGCCACAGACAGGGCGCTGTTTGAAGTGGGCGCACAGAATGGAGAAATCAGAACTGTCCGGCAAGTGACAGATAAAGATGCTGTCAAACAAAGACTCACTGTTGTAGTGGAGGACAACGGGCAGCCCTCTCGATCAGCTACAGTCAATGTTAACGTGGCGGTGGCGGACAGCTTCCCTGAGGTGCTCTCGGAGTTCACCGACTTTACGCACGACAAGGAATACAACGACAACCTGACTTTCTATCTCGTCTTGGCCTTGGCTGTAGTGTCGTTTCTCTTTATCGTGTCCATCATCGCCATACTGTCAGTCAAATGCTACAGATGGAGACGCGAGCGGATGTTTTATAAGTCTGGAGCGAATCTTCCGGTTATTCCGTATTACCCGCCTCTTTACGCAGATGTAGGAGGCACGGGAACTTTACAGCACGTGTACAATTATGAGGTTTGCAGAACCACTGACTCCAGAAAGAGTGATGTGAAATACGGCAGAGCTTGCAGTGAGAGCATCATTAGTCTGGACACCAGTGGAACACAGACACTCACGCATGCGCAAAGGGGGAGACTGAACTTTGATGATTGTGGGGATCAGGTGAGAATTGTTTTATATAACTAGCATAAGATGTCGTATATTTTTTCGTAAGTTTAGGACCATTTTCTTAAATGGTTTGTCCTTGCTATCTAAAAAAACTTAATTTTGAATGTAGGATTTATCGTTCCACTTGTCTTTTTTAACTTTTTGTTTGTTTGTTTATTTGGTGGGGTTTTTTTGTCTCTTCATAGTTTTTGTAAACAAGCGCTGTAGAATGGCTTGAAATGCACATATTGGTGCTATCATTTAAAGAGGAAGGGAATCAAACGAAATATCTATGACTCATTTTGTTTATTGTTCGGTAAATGGTTTTGAATGACTTTTTGTTTTTTGTTTTTTTGTTGTTCTGAGTGTTTTTAATTATTTTTCTCTCTCTAAGCTTTTATTTATGCTTCTGTAGAATATTAATATTAATATTTTTATAATAATAATAATAATAATAATAATAATAATAATAATAATAATAATGTTATTATTACTTATCTGAGGTTTTATTTATAATTAATTTTCTTTGCATGATATTTTATTTATGTGCACTGTTTTATAAATAAATATATTAAAATAATAATAATAAAAACGTTATTATTATTATTATTATTATTATTATTATTATTATTATTATTTAATATTATTATTATTATTATTGTTGTTGTTGTTGTTGTTGTTGTTGTTTTATGGGTTTATTTTATTTATTTATTTATTTTTATTTTTTGCTGGGAATATAAAAATGTGTGTTCCAGCATAAATTTTGACTATATTTTTTTTCACGTTTTTAAAATCAAAATCACACCTTTTTGCTATTTGATGAGATTTTATTTATTTTTTTTATATATATACATTTTATATAAAACCATAGTCAAAGGAGTTTATTATTGTTTGTCTGGGTCAGAGCACGTTCATTAAAACATGTTTTCTATATTCTGGAGTACAGGTTTAACACTTTTTCTTCCATAATTTAAATTTCGTTGAAAGTGAGTTTACTGTATACCTGTTTTGCTGGCAGTATGTTTTTTAAAATCTATTGCTTGTTAGCATTTAAGCACTTGTAGTATTTCTCTGATGCACCAAGTGCCGCTGTTGGTCAGTGTGTTTAAGCTTTAAACTGTATTTTAGACCCTCCTTTTCTTTCTGACATCACATTCTGCAGAATATCTCTTCATTTCAGACGGTCTCTCCTCTGAAGCGTGGTAACATTCGTCGCTCTTTGTTATCGGAAGAACTTTGCTTTTTCCACGCTTTCAATTATCTTCTTCTTCATCATATATTCTTCTTCAGTGGAACAGAAGATCTGGATAATGTCGTTTCTTTGTTGTTTTTCCGCGCACAGAGGCGCGTCTTCGTCGCGGATTTCATCATGGCTAATGCAGCCTCTCGTGCTCTGCGTCTTTGTCATGGCCGTTGCGCGCGCGCAGGTCCGTTATTCTATCCCAGAGGAGATGACAAAGGGCTCGCTGGTGGGAAATATCGTTCAGGATCTCGGTTTGGATGTTAAGAGGCTGAAATCTGGTCGAGCGCGGATCTTTACGGAGGACAGTCGTGAGTACATCGCTCTGAATGTGGATAAAGGGACTCTGGTAGTAAAAGAGAGGATAGATAGAGAGGAGCTGTGCGCCCAAGTGTCTCCCTGCTCCTTACATTTTCAGATCATCCTAGAAAGCCCCATGGAGCTGCATAGAATTGATGTAGAAATATTAGATATTAATGATCATGCTCCTGTTTTTGACAGAAAAGAAATTGATTTTCAGATTAGTGAATCTGCACTTCCCGGAGCTCGCTTTTCATTAGACAGCGCCCATGATCCGGACACCGGTACGAACGCGCTTAAATCATATACATTAAATCCAAAAGATCATTTTGATTTGAAGGTTATGTCACGAAATGATGGCTCAAAATACGTCGAAATGGTTCTTCAAGCGCCGTTAGACAGAGAGACTCAACATGAGCACAAGTTAACCCTTACAGCCTTTGATGGCGGCAATCCGCAGAGAACTGGCACTGTTAGGATATGTGTTACGGTCATAGACGCAAACGACAACGCGCCTGTATTTAGTCTGCCTGTTTACCGTGTTTCATTGTTTGAGAATGCACCTAATGGTGCTGTTGTGGTCAGAGTAAGCGCAACTGATAATGACCAAGGCGCAAACGGAGAGATAACATATTCTTTTTCACGCAGTTCTGGAAAAAATCTAGATTTATTCCATATTGGCGCAGATACAGGTGAAATTACTGTAAAAGGACATTTGGATTATGAGAGAGCTAAACAATTTGAGTTAAACATAGATGCTACGGATAAAGGTGGTTTAACTGACTCCAGTAAAGTTATAATCGATATTACAGATGTAAACGACAACCCCCCTGTGATAAGCCTGATTTCATTTTCTAATCCAATACCAGAGGACGCAGCGCCAGAAACTGTAATAGCGATGCTGAATGTCAAAGATTTAGATTCAGGGAAAAATGGGCAGGTTAAATGTTACATTTCTGCAGACATGCCGTTCAAGGTGAAGTCATCTGCCCAGAATTTTTACAGTTTGATCACTGATCAGCTTTTAGATCGTGAAAAAATATCTGAATACAATATCACAGTAACAGCTACTGATGAGGGCTCTCCATCCTTCTCCACTAATAAAACACTGACTCTGAAAATCTCCGATGTGAATGACAACGCCCCTGTGTTTGAGCGTCAGTCATACACCGCATTTATCATGGAGAATAATTCTCCAGGAGTCTCTGTTTTATCTGTTAAAGCGCACGACAGAGACTCTGGCAATAACGCGCGTATCTCCTATTTTCTAGAGGATGTTGTTGTGAATGGCGTCTCTGCCTCGACCTTTATTTCAGTCAATGCAGAGAGCGGAGAGATTCTTGCTGCTCGCTCTTTTGATTACGAGCAAACAAAAGATTTTAGCATCCGCGTAAAAGCGCAGGACGGAGGCTCTCCTCCTCTCAGCAGCAACGTGAGCGTCAAAATCCTGATTCAGGACCAGAATGACAACGCGCCTCAGGTTCTGTATCCGGTCCAGTCAGGCGCTTCTGTGGTGGCTGAAATAGTGCCTCGTTCGGCAGATGTGGGTTATCTGGTGACTAAAGTGGTGGCTGTTGATGTGGACTCTGGACAGAACGCCTGGCTCTCCTATAAACTGCACAAAGCCACAGACAGGGCGCTGTTTGAAGTGGGCGCACAGAATGGAGAAATCAGAACTGTCCGGCAAGTGACAGATAAAGATGCTGTCAAACAAAGACTCACTGTTGTAGTGGAGGACAACGGGCAGCCCTCTCGATCAGCTACAGTCAATGTTAACGTGGCGGTGGCGGACAGCTTCCCTGAGGTGCTCTCGGAGTTCACCGACTTTACGCACGACAAGGAATACAACGACAACCTGACTTTCTATCTCGTCTTGGCCTTAGCTGTAGTGTCGTTTCTCTTTATCGTGTCCATCATCGCCATACTGTCAGTCAAATGCTACAGATGGAGACGCGAGCGGATGTTTTATAAGTCTGGAGCGAATCTCCCGGTTATTCCGTATTATCCGCCTCTTTACGCAGATGTAGGAGGCACGGGAACTTTACAGCACGTGTACAATTATGAGGTTTGCAGAACCACTGACTCCAGAAAGAGTGATGTGAAATACGGCAGACCTTGCAGTGAGAGCATCATTAGTCTGGACACCAGTGGAACACAGACACTCACGCATGCGCAAAGGGCAAACCTGAATAATGATTTTGATCAGGTGAGATTGAGTGATTAATTATAAACATGGCTTTCTAGTGTCTAATTTATCATCATGATTTATCTCAGTTTTTCTCAGATTAAGCACAGCATTTTTGTCTTTGTGTTCGTGTTTATATATATATATATATATATATATATATATATATATATATATATATATATATATATATATATATATATATATATATACATATATATATATATATATATATATATATATATATATATATATATATATATATATGTATGTATGTATAAACAAACATACACATATTAGTTTACACTTTTTTTCTGCCCTAAGCTAAGTTTTGCTCAATAAGGATGCTTATATTTTGATAAAGTTTGCGCGCTTTGGTCACAGTGAAGCTTTAAATGCATTAAGAGATGTTTTATATTTTCTGCTTTACATTTTGCAGTTTTACTCGAATCTGTGATCATATTTAAAGGTGTTCTGTTGGAAATATTTTTATTTTTGTCTCATAATATTGCGTTACCACAAATTATTTGTATTTTGGCATTTAACCTTATTCTTATTTTGCGTTTGGGTATTTTCCAGCATGTTTACATGCAATATTTCTCTGATGCACTAAGTGCCGCTGTTGGTCAGTGTGTTCAGGCTTTAAACATTTATTTTAGATCCTCCTCCACTTTCTGACATCACATTCTGCAGAAAAATCATTCTCATTCAGACGCTTTCTCTTTAACACTGAAGTATCGAGACATTCGCTGTCCTGTATTTTCGGGTGGAGTTTGCTGTTTCTTCACTTTTCTGTATCATCTATTCTTCATCATCTTAAGTGGAACAGAAGATCTGGATTATGTCGTTTCTTTGTTGTTTTTCCGCGCACAGAGGCGCGTCTTCGTCGCGGATTTCATCATGGCTAATGCAGCCTCTCGTGCTCTGCGTCTTTGTCATGGCCGTTGCGCGCGCGCAGGTCCGTTATTCTATCCCAGAGGAGATGACAAAGGGCTCGCTGGTGGGAAATATCGTTCAGGATCTCGGTTTGGATGTTAAGAGGCTGAAATCTGGTCGAGCGCGGATCTTTACGGAGGACAGTCGTGAGTACATCGCTCTGAATGTGGATAAAGGGACTCTGGTAGTGAAAGAGAGGATAGATAGAGAGGAGCTGTGCGCCCAAGTGTCTCCCTGCTCCTTACATTTTCAGATCATCCTAGAAAACCCCATGGAGCTGCATAGAATTGATGTGGAAATATTAGACATTAATGATCATGCTCCTGTTTTCAAGAAAAAAGAGATAACATTTCAAATGAGTGAGTCTGCTTTGTCTGGTGCTCGATATTCAATTGATAGCGCTAATGATCCAGATGTAGGTCTAAATACCCTGCAGACATATAAATTAATTCCATCAGACCATTTCATAGTAAAAATACCTGCTCATCTCGATGATACTAAATATGTGGAGATAATTTTGCAAAAACCTTTGGACAGAGAGTCTATGGAGGAACATAAACTAATTTTAACTGCGTTCGATGGCGGTAACCCTCAAAAAACGGGTACTGTCAAGATAAACGTCATTGTTTTAGATGCAAATGACAATGCACCGGCTTTCAGTCAGTCTGTCTATAAAGCTTCTATTCCGGAGAATTTTTCTAAAGGATCATCTGTATTAAAGGTTAGTGCAGCAGACGGAGACACTGGATCTAATGGAGAAGTTACGTATTCTTTATCTCAAAGCAGTGAAAGCTTTTCTGGCCTTTTTAACATTGACTCCAACACTGGTGATATTACAGTTAATGGTTATTTAGATTACGAGAAATCTAAAAAATATGAACTATACGTTGAAGCAACAGACAAAGGAGGGTTACGGGACACAAGCAAAGTGCAAATAGAAATAACTGATATAAACGATAATCCTCCTATAATAAGCGTAATTTCATTTTCAAGCCCCGTGCCGGAGAATTCAGCTCCAGAGACTGCAGTAGCAATGTTTAATGTCAAAGATTTAGATTCGGGGAAAAACGGAATGGTTAAGTGCTCCATTCCTCCTAATTTACCCTTTAAAATAAAGTCATCTACTCCAAATTTTTACAGTTTAGTCACTGATGATCTGTTAGATCGGGAGATGCTCTCCGAATATAATATCACAGTAACAGCTACTGATGAGGGCTCTCCATCCTTCTCCACTAATAAAACACTGACTCTGAAAATCTCCGATGTGAATGACAACGCCCCTGTGTTTGAGCGTCAGTCATACACCGCATTTATCATGGAGAATAATTCTCCAGGAGTCTCTGTTTTATCTGTTAAAGCGCACGACAGAGACTCTGGCAATAACGCGCGTATCTCCTATTTTCTAGAGGATGTTGTTGTGAATGGCGTCTCTGCCTCGACCTTTATTTCAGTCCATGCAGAGAGCGGAGAGATTCTTGCTGCTCGCTCTTTTGATTACGAGCAAACAAAAGATTTTAGCATCCGCGTAAAAGCGCAGGACGGAGGCTCTCCTCCTCTCAGCAGCAACGTGAGCGTCAAAATCCTGATTCAGGACCAGAATGACAACGCGCCTCAGGTTCTGTATCCGGTCCAGTCAGGCGCTTCTGTGGTGGCTGAAATAGTGCCTCGTTCGGCAGATGTGGGTTATCTGGTGACTAAAGTGGTGGCTGTTGATGTGGACTCTGGACAGAACGCCTGGCTCTCCTATAAACTGCACAAAGCCACAGACAGGGCGCTGTTTGAAGTGGGCGCACAGAATGGAGAAATCAGAACTGTCCGGCAAGTGACAGATAAAGATGCTGTCAAACAAAGACTCACTGTTGTAGTGGAGGACAACGGGCAGCCCTCTCGATCAGCTACAGTCAATGTTAACGTGGCGGTGGCGGACAGCTTCCCTGAGGTGCTCTCGGAGTTCACCGACTTTACGCACGACAAGGAATACAACGACAACCTGACTTTCTATCTCGTCTTGGCCTTGGCTGTAGTGTCGTTTCTCTTTATCGTGTCCATCATCGCCATACTGTCAGTCAAATGCTACAGATGGAGACGCGAGCGGATGTTTTATAAGTCTGGAGCGAATCTTCCGGTTATTCCGTATTATCCGCCTCTTTACGCAGATGTAGGAGGCACAGGAACTTTACAGCACGTGTACAATTATGAGGTTTGCAGAACCACTGACTCCAGAAAGAGTGATGTGAAATACGGCAGAGCTTGCAGTGAGAGCATCATTAGTCTGGACACCAGTGGAACACAGACACTCACGCATGCGCAAAGGGCAAACCTGAATGATTTTGATCAGGTGAGATTGAGTGATTAATTATAAACATGGCTTTCTAGTGTTTATTTTATCATCATGATTTATCTCAGTTTTTCTCAGATTAAGCACAGCATTTTTGTCTTTGTGTTCGTGTTTATATATATATATATATATATATATATATATATATATATATATATATATATATATATATATAAACATACACATATAAGTTTACACTTTTTTCTGCCCTAAGCTAAGTTGTACTCAATAAGGATGCTTTTATTTTGATAAAGTTTGCGCACTTTGGTCACAGTGAAGCATTAAATGCATTAAGAGCTGTTTTATATTTTCTGCTTTACATTTTGCAGTTTTACTCGAATCTGTGATCATATTTAAAGGTGTTCTGTTGGAAATATTTATATTTTTGTCTCATAATATTGTGTTACCACAAATTATTTGTATTTTGGCATTTAACCTTATTCTTATTTTGCGTTTGGGTATTTTCCAGCATGTTTACATGCAATATTTCTCTGATGCACTAAGTGCCGCTGTTGGTCAGTGTGTTCAGGCTTTAAACATTTATTTTAGATCCTCCTCCACTTTCTGACATCACATTCTGCAGAAAAATCATTCTCATTCAGACGCTTTCTCTTTAACACTGAAGTGTCGAGACATTCGCTGTCCTGTATTTTCGGGTGGAGTTTGCTGTTTCTCCACCTTTCTGTATCATCTATTCTTCATCATTTTAAGTACCACAGAAGATCTGGATAATGTCGTTTCTTTGTTGTTTTTCCGCGCACAGAGGCGCGTCTTCGTCGCGGATTTCATCATGGCTAATGCAGCCTCTCGTGCTCTGCGTCTTTGTCATGGCCGTTGCGCGCGCGCAGGTCCGTTATTCTATCCCAGAGGAGATGACAAAGGGCTCGCTGGTGGGAAATATCGTTCAGGATCTCGGTTTGGATGTTAAGAGGCTGAAATCTGGTCGAGCGCGGATCTTTACGGAGGACAGTCGTGAGTACATCGCTCTGAATGTGGATAAAGGGACTCTGGTAGTGAAAGAGAGGATAGATAGAGAGGAGCTGTGCGCCCAAGTGTCTCCCTGCTCCTTACATTTTCAGATCATCCTAGAAAACCCCATGGAGCTGCACAGAATTGATGTGGAAATATTAGATATTAATGATCATGCTCCAGCTTTTATAAGAAAAGAAATACACTTTCAAATAAGTGAGCTTGCCGTTCCCGGTGCTCGTTTTTCTTTAGACAGTGCGCATGATCCTGATGTTGGCTTGAATACGCTTCAGAGATACAGTTTAATACCAACCGACTATTTTTCATTGAAGGAACTATCGCGCAGTGATGGTAATAAATACGTCGAGATGATTTTGAAATCTCCGTTAGATAGGGAGAGAGATGAAGAATTGAAATTAACCCTTACTGCATTTGATGGAGGAAACCCTCAAAAATCCGGAACGGTTAAAATAATTGTCACAGTAATTGATGCAAACGACAACACCCCCGCGTTCAGCCAGTCAGTGTACAGAGTTTCTTTAGCAGAAAATGCACCGATAGGTACAGTAGTGGTTATTGTACTTGCTACAGACAAAGACAAAGGATCAAATGGCGAGGTGATATATTCGTTTTCACAAAGCTCTGGAAAGGATTTAGACCTTTTTAGAATTGATCAGGAGACTGGGAAAATAACCGTAAATGGCTTATTAGATTATGAAAAATCAAAGCAATATGAACTAAATATTGAGGCAATGGATAAGGGAGGATTAACCGACAA